TCATTTCCTTCATTTTTCCTCAAGTAAGTTTCCAGCCAGCTTTACAATCCATGTCAGCTGTCTTGTCCCTATACAAGGGTTCTTGGCACAGCTGTTGCTGTTATTCTGACTCACTGTTATTTTGTTCCAGATTTCTCCTGCATAAATCATAACAGAAGAGCCAGGCTGACTGAATGTTATTCTTCACTTGTACAATGAAGCATAGCTTTTGTGATATAATTTAGTTTCCCAAACTTTTCATTCTGCTGCCATTTTCAGGCTTGTATATGCTTGCTTGATTTCTGCACCTAGCATTTGAACTAAATAAATCAGAACCAAAATAAGCCTGACTACGTTCATATTATTCCATATCCCCTCTTCTCTCCTATCTTTCTGATAGGCAGGCTTCTTCATTTAAGACATACAATCTATACTTCGCTTGGTATAACCAACTGATAAATATGAGGCTTCCTCTCAGGGTGGAGAAAGCAGACTTGCTACAGGCATTTGCTAGGCTTTGAAGGATCATCGTAACATACTGGATTGGTCAGAAGCTTCAACCAGTCTTCCTCTTGGAGTCTGTGTTTAGTTTAGCATGCACTCTGTCGGCTTTTCCTCCTGAAATTCCATACTGCTGAAATCCTATAGCACTGAATTCAAAGATATTAATGTTTCCCCCTCCATGCCCTATTTTTGCCTGTTCAGGCATGCCTGTATTGCAAGTAACATCCAGAATAAGGTTCTCATACTTGCATGGCAGACCTGTCCCAATGTTATCCACACCAATGACGTTAAGACTTTTCTTGACCCTTCCCAGTCACCTCTGATGTATTGCCTGAAAAGTTGGAACTACATTTTGGAATTGGAGTAAAAGTGATTGCATTTTGCAAAACAACCATGAAAACCAACTTGAATACAGCTACTCTCAATCACATACAGATGTTTCTCTGCAAAACAAGAAGTACTGGCAAGTGTAAACTGCAGATAATGTTAAAGTGCTAGGACCCATAAGTAGAAATTTCTTGCAAATGCATTTTAGAACAAAGAAGTGCTCATCCTTCTGAGCCCAAAACTAATATACTACTTCAGAGTTCTGTCTGAAAGCTTCCACGATTACTAAGTAAAATTCCCTGGCTGAAATTAAGCTATATTTATTAAGGACCATCTCATCACAGGACTCGCATTTTCCATTCTTTCAGTAGTACTGCAGAATTTAAAGCTATTCCTGCAGCTGAGCTATAGACAGATTTAGAAGAAACAAGTTATAAGAAAAAGGTTGCCTTTTTTCTAAATTTAAAACTTTCACTTGAATCTTAAGACTACAATATTTACCTTCTCTTACAGCGACTGATGCCAGTTCTACACTACATAGATTATATGAAGAATTCCTCTGACATCAGTAATATAACCAAAACTCAGTGAGCAAGACTTACTACTTTCCATAAAGTTTGAACAAAAAGGGAAAACCAAGTAAAAAAATTAATAGCTGGCTTATTTAGAATGTGCTTAATTTGATAAAATAGATTAAGTGATATGCTCTATTTGAATGTTTCCATTTTATCTGAAGTTCTTGAAGTTTTATAGTATGATGTAACAGGAAAAAGTCTCCATTTATGGAGGTGAGAGTCCTCACCGAGACAGAAGCATTCTGCCAGCACTCCCATAGCTGGCTGGTAGTCATAGAAGTCCAGCTTCACAAACATCCCACGTTATTAAGGTTCTTGGGAAGCATCAGTTTCTCAACCTGTTTCTAACTATTTATGTTTACATTGAGAAATTCATACAGAAGGGTAATTCTTGACTGGAATTTTAGTACCATGTTTCATAGCAGTAGCTAGAAGAGGGCTAAAATGAACAATTCATCTATAAAAATAGAAGTGTTTCGTTTTACATGCTTGTCAGACCTGACAGAAAAGTAAGGTGCAGCATCTGTTACTGACCTTATAGGAAACAGACAGGAAAATCCACCTCCAGAAAAATCAGACAAGATAGTTACTAACTTTGCATTAGGTAGCTGCTTTTTCATTGTGTGCAGTCACTAGAATTCAGGTATTAAATCAAAACTAGAGTTCCCACTTAAAGCTGCTGCCTTTGAATTAGATCTACACTTAGCACACTGAAGCTGTTGCATCTGTTTCTCTGCTGCCCAGACAGTTATCTAGGTGCAAAAGTCAGATCTAAAGTGCTCTGGGAGAATGGCTGCATTGTGCATTTATCCTTACAAGTACTCCGTCCTTCTCAAGCGCCAGACTGGGAATTACTTAAGAGCATAAATGATTTCTCCCCTCTGTGTTAACTGTATCACATTATTCCTAATGAGCTGTGTGTGGCTTCAGGAGGACACCACAGTTCCACTCAAGGATGGCCCATGGCATCTAAAGTGCCTGCCTCTGTGAAGGTCTAAACTACGGTTTAACACAGAAGCAGTGGATTCTAGGTTACCTGAAGCAAAACCACAAACCTCTAGGATCATCTTCTAGCACAACTTAAAAAACCCTATTGTTTCTTCCCACTTCTGTTGGGATTGGGTCTTTTTGGGATGTGGGCTTTTTTATTTTTGTTTTGAAGTTCGGCTCCATTTCAAAAGGCAGACTTCAGCTACATTGGACACCTACTCCTATCACTGTAAGCCAGTCATCTACCTCTTCAGGTCTAGTCCCTAGTTTCCTAAAAAGTTTCTAAGCTATTTACTGAGAACTTTGCATAATTAAGTGCAATGATGCATAAATACCTTCAGGAGCCTGGGTTTTACAGTCCTACATCACCAGGCAGTTTTGAAATCATTCCCCTTAGGCTCACAGCTGCAGTGTATCATCTGTAGTACAAAACCAGACCTTTCAAATCCTTTGCCTAATCTTTGCTAATAGAGATTAAAGCACAGAATTAGCAGTCACTAGTGAGATGGAAGAGGGGAAACTTACTCTTGGCTTAGCTAGTTGTTTAATTTTCTCAATTTCTTCATCAGACATGACATCATAGTATCGTACAATATGAGGGCTATCCCATTCATCTTCTTCCTTAAAGGGAGCTATGAGCAGATGAGGGTTTCTGTTTCCATCGTGGTACCTACAAAACAGCCTTTTCTGTCTCCGAGGTGTCTGAAACAAAACACCAAATACAACATTGTTTGCTCAACCATTTCATGAACTTAAAACAGGAAAGACAAAAAAAAGAGATTAATTCCACAAACACTGTAAAAGCCATCAGCTGACTAGCAAATTTAAGAGGTAAGCATGAGCGATCCTGCAATTTACTGCAAACGAAAACCAATATACGCCATTCAAGATACCACTGAGTAACATCTGAAACACTAACCTTTAGGAGAATTAAAATCATAATAGACTACTGATTAAACAAATAACTATACAAACACCCAGCTGTAAAAAAAAAGTCTGGTTCTTATAATTAAGACTATGCAGATGGAATAAATTGATTCCATTCCCTGCACTGAAAATTAAAGCCATGTGTGTTGAGAGGTACTAGAGACTGCTTGGTCAAAATAGTCACCCCAGAAGGACATGTGTTTAACATGCACAAGGGAAGGAATAAGGCGATTCCACAAGTGTGGCAAAGCATAACCAGTTCTCAGTGGAAAAAGCCTCCTAGTATATCTGTACAGCCAGCATTTGAAACAGCTGAGCAGCCAGACTGAGGAGAACTAATTTTTCAACAACCTTTAAGAGGTATATTTGAGAGTTGTTTTTCTGTCTAGGATTAACAGCTAAAGACAGAGTCTTCAACAGCTAAATCTTTAATCCTTAACAGCTAAAGATAGAGAGGCCAAGACACAAGGTAAAATTCTCAGCCTGGACAGAATGACATTTAATTTCTTCTTAAAGAGAGACCTTCACAGAAGGAAAAACTCAACATGTCCCACCAAGCTTAATCACCCTTAGGCAAAGGCAGCATAGTCAGGGAATTCTTGCCTTTCTCTTACCATTTTCACGCCTTCACCTCGGCAAAGGGCCTCATAGATATCACGCTCTGGCAAGTAGTCAAGAGGTCTCTCATAGGCACCACTTTGCACCACTGGTTCTGTCGTCATCATGGTCTTGTTTATTGACTTCTCTTTCTCCTTCTCTTCTCTCTCCTTCTCCAGCAACTTCTCAAAGTACCGCAAGTTACTGCCTGCTCTCTCATGAGTACTGTCTTCATTGGGAGAAAAACAGACAGAACCAGCAATTTACGCAGTCTCAGGAACTGTTAATACAAATAAATCTTTGTATCAAGACAGCAATAATTCTCCCCTTCTTAAAGCATCATCAGGCAACTAAAAGCATTGGGTCCAGTCTGCACTGAAAAGCAGCACTGGGAAGTTTCTGTCTTTGCAGAGGGAAGGTAGGCACAGTCTGCAAAAGAATCTTTTCTGGAAGGACCCATCACAAAGCTTGTATTCCAAGAAAAAAAAAATAGTAGTTTTTGGTCTTCACAGTCCTCCTTCTCTCTCAACTTTTCTGCCCAGTTCTACCCAAGATAAGTAGATCATAGAGCTTACCAGCAGAGATCAAGCTCGGCTACTTGTTGCACCCCTCCTCTCCACCATGCTTCTCACCCACACCGCACAAGCATGCTTTAACCAAGGACTGCAGTGGAGTGCCAGCCATGGACTTCAGTCCCAAAGACCTCCTCCAGAGTTGGGAAGCTCAGAGGTATGCACTACCACTTAACAGCCCACCTACTGCATCCACCTCTAGACATTTGTAACAGGTTCATCTGGGAGGTATCCTGGATTACTAGCATCATTGCACCTATCATAAGTGATTTATTTATGATGTTGGTATGAATCAATAAACACTATCAATAGATCTTTACCCAGCCTAACTAAGCAGGAACAGTTCCCTGTTCACCAGTGTTTCTGGACACTGGAACAGTTTCTTTCCCTTCTGGCCTCCCCAAGCTTACTGTGTTTACCTCCTAGAACTAACCGAGAAAGCTGCTGCAGTAACCACTCATTAGAGCATATGCTAACAGCAGCCAGAAAAGGAAGCTGAGCCCAGAGCAGAAGTTGCTGCTCCCAGAGGGGACTGCCAAGTCTGTTCCTCTTTTTGGTGCTGGTAAGGATTTTGCATTCTGCTATCAGTGCTAAACCCTACTGCAAAGGGAGCTAGATTCAATAGATATTCATATTCTTGTAAATTTTAATCTATGAATTCCAATGTCTGCAGAAATTAGACTGATAGATATTACTGAAAAGAAAGGCTTCACCTACACTCAGAATGTGGCAACATCTAAATAAAGAGCCACAGATTACTAAAAAATACAAATACATAACACAGTAGATGTTAACTCTAATTGGGGAGGATAAACCTTTCCAATGCAGGAAACTAGGCAAAGTTGGATAGAAAGCAATGCTTATTTGCTTACTCAAGAGAAAGCTAGAAACAGACCAGAGATAAAAAGGAGGTTTTAAAAAACCTCAATCTGTTGTGAATATCCAGAAATAAATACTTTAAGACCTCAGGCAAAGCCCTCTTCTGGCATCAAAGAGCACCTGCACTGAGGAATAAAGAGGAATATGTGAAGTCAGTAGGACTTTACAGAAGATACAGCACTCCGCGTAAGTCCACAGTAGCCTTGATCTCCACTCGAGACAACCCAGGCTCTAACCATCACCAAACACAACCTCTCAATACACTGAAGGAAAGCCCACAGGTACTGCAGTCAGACACACATTTGGTCTTTGGGTAACTGCAGCATGGACTATGAGATAGCTTGTTAAAGATACTTCATGTATAAGTAGACTTTGTTTTTCCCTATGTTTATTTTAAGTCATCTGGCAGTATATCGTTCCAGTCAGCTCACCAGTACGTATGGGCCATGACTGTTCTTGGCTCTGTTGCTGGCAAGACTCCCCAGCGCTAGAATAGCAGGTTTTTTGTTCTTACCAAGGGATATCAGACGTCTGGTAAGCTCCATGGCTCTGTGTAAATCCCCAAACTGGAAAACAGCATAGCTGAGATAATCTAGGATCTCCACTTTGCTGACTGTTGTATCCTCCCCCTCATCGTGTTGTTTTAAGGCTTGCTCCATCCAGAGTACTGTGTGATAGTAGTCTCCGTCATTGTAAGCAGTCTTCCCCATACCAAAGCAGTCACCTACTGTCAAAGAGGATCTGTATTTTGTTCCTAAAACCAAAAAGATATCTTTAAGCAATCCACACAGAAGCACCTTAGCCTTCAAATACATGGGGCACATTGAGGAATATCTGTAAACACACTTTCATCATCCTAAAAGGCTTCCAAAAGAATTAGTCGACAATATTTTACACTGTGGACGAAACTGATCACCTTCAGAATTAAGATTAAATTCTATCCTAATTCTGTGGCACTAATTCCTTTGGAAACCAAGAGATGTTTAACACAAAAATTAGTTTTAAGCTATTGTGTTTTCTGTTGTAGACAAAGGTAGAGCAGACTAACAGCTTAACAGATTTTACTTAACCTACAAATTAACACTGTCAGACGATCAGAGAAGCCTGACTATGTGCAGAGCTAGCTTGCTTCCTCTTTACTAGAGATGTATATTTGTGCATAAGCAAGCTGATGCTTATTTAGACAAAGTGAGTATCCATTTGACTAACTGTGCACTGATTTCCGGTTGCTCCACCTCAGGAGATGCACAGATAAGACTTAAAATTAAGTTCATTGTTAATAACCTACAAATAATAACTAAAACTGTTTTATCAACTCATCTACCCACACTCTCCTGAAGCCTATTCAGTTTGTAAACAGTGTGAGGCTAGTAAGCATAACCTGTTTCAGCAAGTCTCTCCTAAGCAGCAGCAACAAACACTTATCAGTACTCAGCTGCCAAAACACTGAAGGATCTCAATGTATCTATGTACTTTTCAAAACATCTCTGTGGCAAAAACTGTTAATCTCCATTTCAACCAAAGCCTCATTGGAAGACCACAGCAAACAGAGCCAAATATTTTAAGAGCCAGAGCAATGAATTACAGAGCAGTTTCTTCCCTTGGTTCGTAAGTTATCTGGGACAGGAAGTACCCATGGTATTTGCTTACACAGTAATCAGCACAAGAAAGTATGTTGTCCTTTGCTGTTTTGGTATAGCGATAAAAGAAAACCTGGATTTTTATAAAAGTAATACTAACTAAAAAGTGCTGCTTGAGCTGGTCACTGTAGGCCGTGGTTCCTTGGCTTGGGTGGGAACAACTTCAAGGTAGTTCTCAAAGTGCCAAAGTAGATACATCCTCAAGCAGCTAAGCCGCATGGACTCTCAGCACCGTGGCCCTTTGCTGAAAAAGGACTTCTGGAGAGAGCTTGAGGACATTACCACTTCCTTCCTTTTAAAGGAGAGGAGACCTTTGTGCACTTACCTGGTAAGTTTCCTCGAGAGAGAGTTTCAGGATCCAGTTTGTATGTGTCCTGCAGGCGCATCAGAGCCTTTGCAGCTCCAGTCTCATCTTCTTCAGTTGGAAAAAACTGACGCTGAATTGTAAGATTTGCAATAAAGCCTTTGCAGTAAAAGGGAAAGATGTTACTTCCAGAGTTCGCGTAAATATCAGTACCAGATTAACACAGATGAGGAAACACCTGCTTTGTTTTGGGAATTGAGATTCAAATAATTCCAATTTAAAGCTCCTTATTAGGCTCTCAAGATAAAATCATTTCCTTCTGTCCCATTTTAAGAAATATAGCTCACAAGCAAGGGATAAAGGATAAATAACTAAACCCCGCAGTTTCCTTGTGCCACACTATTACTAAAGTACAATGTGAATCTAATGATCTTCATTTTCCTGTAATGTCTCCTCCTAGCATGAAAACTTAATAGCTTTCATCAGTTCTCTTGCAATATCCACAGAGACAACTGCAGATTATAGTACCGGACAATGATTTCAGACTCTGGACTCCAACCTGTAAAGTCGTAAGAGCTTTTCAAATCTCAGCTCAAGGGACAGAGACCCTGATTGAAGATGCCCTAAGTAGGGGCAGGACCTTACTCAGTAAGAGGCTTTTAAATCTGACAAGTAAAACCAAGTGATATGTAGAAATAAAATAAAGTGCACTACATAAACATATCAAGGTTACACAGCAGGTTGGTTGGGCAGAAGTGGGGGCAATCAACTGAAGAAAAGCAACTCAACCATTTCCAGTGATGCAGCAAGCAGAACTGGAAAAGAAAGCCTTTAGAAAAAGAATTAGTGACAGAAGTACTCAATAGAATTGAGTATTTTATTTCCATCTAGGATGACTATTCCAGAAGGCAATAAAAATCTTGGCTGAAAAAAAACACTTCCAAGTACCTAAACTTTAGCATATGCAGTGTAGAAAGGGAAAACATGCAGTATTCTACATGAAAAACATAGCCTCTTCTCTCCCTTACTTTCAAGGAGTCCAGTAAAAATAGACCTCCATTTAAAAAAAAAAGCTATGTAAGCAAATTCAGGCAGATACTTTGACAATATGATGCAAAACCAAAGATTAGTACTGGAAACATTTGATTTAGAAGGATAGGTTTACAGATAGCTATTGTATATTATCCTGTTATCAACAGACTGACTACAGCATCTGCCAACTCTTAATGCTAGGGCTGATAGAAATTCCTTCAACAATTCAGTATGGGTCTCATTTTGATTCTTAAGTCTTTTCTGCTGATCAACATGGTCAAAAATCAATGATCACCAAAAGAAGGAACAGACTGGGGAAGCAGATGAGTAAGTTATATATAAAGGCACATAAAAGCTCAGGACTAGGCATAAAACAATAGTTGCCGACACAGCTGACAACTGTAGCATATCCTATTCTCCCCTTCTCCCCAAACAAAAGGGGTAACTGTTTGAGTCTTGACTGAGATATTTTTCAGTGGCAAGTTTCATTTACTTGGGTAACCAGTAAACAAGAGGCCAGTCATTAGTTTAAGTTTCAAACAAACCCGGCAATAATATTTAAACCACAGCTGAGTTTGCAGCTTTCCAGACTAGAAGGAGGATAAGCAACAGTGTCATAAGGCTACCTCCTGATATCTTCTCCCCTATAACTCCTTACCATTTGTTGTATCCTGAAGAACGAGGTTTTCCAATTCCAGCCAGTCAGTATTTAAACGCTTCACCAGCTTATATGCATTTACAGGATGTGCTAGATACCCTTCTGGATCAGAGGTTGATTTGCTAGTCAGTATATCCATTTTTTCAGCCCAGCTGGAATGAGAAGTGTACGCCTCAGAGCGATTTATGAATGTGCATGTCTTCCTTCTTAGGTCATTCTAAAAACACAGCTAGAATCAATTTACTGCCGCTTTTACCATCATAACCAGCTTTCAACTTCACAAGGATAAAGCACAACTGATTATTTTAATCACAATAGTCTTTCTTTTAAAAGGAATTTGCTTCCCTGCTCACTATTTTAAGCCTTACTACAGTAGGCATGCATCTCACAATGAGTTTTAGCCATCAATTTTCAGCATACTGCACTTCAGAAAAATGTTACATAGCACACAATCACTGTGAATGTCATTTATCTCTCTTAGTAAAAATACAAGCATAAATAAAATTCCAAGAGCTTCTCAGCTTTATGGAAACTAAACCATAAGCTTTGATTTTCAGACTGGAAACCTTCAGACAGTACAGTCAGTCACCTAGATTGCACTGTTGGTCAGCTTCAAAGCAGTAGTAGGAAACTTCATCTTCTGTGTTACAGTACATTTGAGCTGCCAACTACACCGCTGATACTATAGTGAGAATTTCTTCTGTTGCTCTTCATATTATCCCTTAACAAGAATGTTTGGCCAAGCTGTGTGTTCCTCTCTCCAGTACTGAATAGGAAGAAAACACTGTTGAGATCAGCTAACAACCGAGCATAAGAAATCCCCTTTGAGCCTGTAATCTCAAACTCAGCAAGCCATGAACGAACATCGGTTACAAACAACTTTACATAAGCACAGGTAAATACTGTCAGACTACTTGGCTTCTTTTACCATCATGTTGCAACAGAAAACAGAAGTAAGATTACTTTTCCAGAGATCCTTTGCAGGGATATCGGATTAACAACATAATTCAGACCAGTGTCACCTGCAGACTCTTTTTAATTTAGACTTTCACTACTTCTAATATTTATTTTGCAAATTAGTAAATACAGTCAAGTTCTAGTCTCTTTACTCACATCACAACGTGATTTTGAATCATAAACATATCTCTGGAGCTAATAGACAAAATACCGAAAAGTGTTACCATATTCAAGTGATAAAATTTAGCACCTGTGTTACAAAGTATATGGCTCATACACTAGCAGGGTGCAAGGGCTCAAATACTGACACACTGATAGAAAACTCTTGCTTACAAACACACCAAAATACAAGTCAACTGAAAATCTAACACATTAAAAAAAGCACTTGGATAAGTCAGTCCATGAAAAGACTTTTTTTTAAAAAAAAGACCAGTTTATGCATACGATTGAACTGACATTCTCTTTAACAATACGTGAAAAGGAGACTGCTTTTCCTCAAAAGGGCAGCTTTTCAAGAAACGAACATTTGTGTACACAAGTGACAAGGAATTCCTACCATTTCACTACTCCATAGCCCCGTCCCTACCCTACACCCCTAAAGGGAGATCAAACTGCCACATGTAGCCTGGAGTTCAGAAATTCTTTGGAAAGCATGGCTCCATTTAGTGGCACTCAGCGTTTCTGAACCTGGACCTCATTTAGACTATTCTAGTGTCACGCCCTATTACATATTACTTTCAGTTAGATAAGTATTAACAGTCTTCCTAAGGGACACAGAAAACATCAGTTGTCAGCAAGCGCCTTTCAAATGATCTAAGCAACCAGGATAATATCAGAGAGGTGCTGTAGCCAGGTCAGCAACCAAAGAGAACAAGGCAGGAGAGCTGTCCCTGAGGGCAAAGCCAACATGGGAAGGAAGCTGGGGATTTGGTGTATGCTCCACTAAACAATACAACCGGCACACTTTGCCACTGTAAGCAGTGCTGATGCCGGGAAACAACAGGTAGCGCAGAGCATTGGCACCCAGAGGCACTTAACTCACATGGACAAGGCTCCTCTGAGATGAGTAGCGTCTTTTCCACAGAAGCACTGTGATGCTACAAGGACAGGGAAAAGTGGGAAAAGCCCAGCAGACAACAGTTTCTAAACAAGCAAAGAAAGTCCGAACGATATCTGAATTGGGGTCCGCCTCTCCGCAGGTTCATGGGACTAAATTACAACAAAGTTAGTACCTATGGTCTCACTGTGAGTATCTACTGAGGAAATACTAACAAGATCCAGCAGCAAAGAGTGACAACAGAAAGGTGTGGTGTAACCGAACGCAGATGAGCCATTTTGTCACCCTTCATTACACAAACCTCTCGCCCTACCTTTTAATCTGAGAGAGCTTGTTCTCTTCTGCTCGGATATATTCCTTTAAAGACTGTACCAAGTCTTTCTCCGCATAAATCAGGTCTGTCATTTGACCTAAAAACAGAGTATGAGTAAGTGTTAATCAGACATGAAAAAAGTAACAATTTCCAACAGCAGAGAAGACAGAATGCTCTAGGGCTATTAAAACCACCACAAAGAACAGACAAATTAAGGGTGTGCACTTCAATGCGTGTAAACTACAAAAGCTATTATACATACAGGTCTGGCATTCAAATGCTTCAAGGGGCTTTTAAAATCCCAACTTCAATGGCTCACGTAGCTTTGCTGTGACCCTTCCACTGCCTCTGAATTACTTTTAGTATTACAATTGTACGCAAGACAATCAAAAGAACTGTTTGCTTTAACTCAATAGTTGTATTAATGTCAATGAAAGATTCAAACAGTTGCCAAAGCATGTGTTCCACATATGGACATAGATTAGGTCACACTAATAAATTATTATTCTAACCATTGGCATCACTTAAAATTACAGCTTTTCAATATGGGTAACTGTGGAAACGCAACCTAACATTAAGAATAGAGGAATTTCAGACTAATGTTTATAGACTGACACACACTCTCTCCTAATTAGCATTAGTGGGAATTGCTAGCATGTCAATCCTAATTGCTATGACAAATTTCGCTTTTCAAAGACCAAACACTGAAAGACCGGATGAGATTTTATAAATGCAGCCACAGCTTTAGTTTCAGCTTCAGCATTCCAAAGTAATTACTAATGAGGCATGATTAAGCAGATGGAAGTCAGCAGGCTGTGCTATTTTCAGAGTTAAGAAAGGTCCAAAAATAGGTAAGCATAAAGAAAAGGTGATCCTTCACAGTAGCTTTGTACAAAAAAAGCTACTTAGGAAAAAAGAGAACCAAATAATACACATGTAGTTAAATACTGTTTAACCAACTCCAGAGCACAGGAGCATGTGCTGGAGACTGGTAGTGAAACACCACTCTGCCTTGCTCTGGCTGAGTAGTTCCACACAGTGGCACAAAAAAACACCAAAACACCGGAGTTTTGAGTTTTACCATTCAGAAACATAGCTCCACTGAGCTCAAAGCAAGTGCCAGAGAAGAGCCAGCTGCAGTTAATCAGTCTCTAATATCCTTATGGGGGAACTGCCCACACTATTCCACAGGAAAACATCAGACCAAGTCACAGCAGAAAACTCAGTTTATGCTTATTTTTAGGCTCTACCACAATCATACATGGTTGTATCACAGCTATTACAATGCAAGAACTAAATTGTCACAAAAATCAATTTATTTCCAGGATTTATGATTATGTGAATTCTTCAGGATTTACCCAGGTCTTACAAAACACACATAAGGGAAGGGGGATATTAATTTTTCCTTCTGACACCTAACTCCAGCTTTTTGAGAAGACAGGAGATTTCAGGTTCTGTGAAAGAAAATATTTCACATATTTATCACTTGAATAATTTTCATAAATCAAATTGAGGACTAAATTTTTAGCATAAGGTTTGTACTGTGTTCAAGATGACAACAGGTGCACAATTCTTAATAAAACACAGGTACTGTCTTATTTTACTGACAGAGCCCCCAGAGAAACTTGTATCATGTTGGTCACAATGTGCTAAGTCACCCAGCTGCAAACAAATTGCACTGACGGAAGACTTGCAATGCAGCATAGCATCAGGGAAGCAGAAGAGCAGCTTTTCCTAATGTGGACAGTGTTTGACAGTACCATATGAAGAAAGCCATATGCTACAACCATAAACTTCAACAGTTTTGGCAATCACATTAACTAAATCACAACATCGTGCATTGTTTTTTTCCATACCTATGGAGGTGAAGAACTCTGCTTCTGTGTGCCAGATTGAAAAAATACAGGTGAAGAACATCAACTGCAGCCAGGGCTTCATCTTCCAGATAGCTCAAACCTGTAACAAATTAAAAGGAAAAAAAAAAGGAGTAAAAATTATTAACTTATTTGTGAGAAAAAAAAAACAAGGCATTAATCTCCATCTTCAGTCATTTCACCCTCATGAAAGTTATTCAGGTCCCTGAAAGACTGAATTCTAATCAGTAAAGCTTGAAAAAAAGTCATCTTTAACCACAGGAGCTGTTACTTAACAGTCTCAAATGCTATC